GCTCGAATCACACCGAGGCCGCCGAGTTTTCTCACAATAGTGTCGAATGAGTATATGCATATTCCTTTGGCTAATGGGGACATCTTTAGCTAACCGCCCTCGAGTTCATTAGACGTGCCCGTCACCTACGGGGCGAAGGCAAAGAGCTAAGGCCTAACCTAGCGAAATTGCGGAATTGGACTTCCTAAAGGTTTACAATGCCTATAAAGCGCTTTAAATGCGCTGCCTAATTAAACCTGCAGACACGTTTTGCGCCGCACGGTGGCTGCTAAGAATCTTTGGCGTAAAATACCTTCGTCTGTCAGAGCTTGCATGGGCTTCTGACTTCATAGTGCATCGCAGACCGCAGCAGCCACAACTACTTGTAGTGATGGGACATCCGCAAGGCACTTGACACATGCAATCAGGATGGCATTCCAAATACCAGTCGTGCAAGTGACCTTTCCTTTAACAGTACGCTTACATCATGTGACCAATTTCTGCTGGCAGGCACTGCACTCTAACTAATCGGATCAGATTTTTGCGAAAAAGACACTGCGCAGCTCCGCACAGGCTTACCAGTCGCGGTGGGGTGTATAGCTGCGACCTCGTCAGTTCAGCATTTCTGAGGATAATAGGCATCGCCGTTGAGAACCTTGGCGGCGCCCACACTAGGGGATCCGCTCTAGGGCCTCTCCTGGCCACATTCTGTACACTGAATATTCTTTTTCCTGAGACAGTTGATTGGTTCGAGGAGAGTACTTTGAAGTGAAATGGCGAAATTCACCGGAAGTAACTGACTCACTGCTGCGTACTTGGTACCACAACCTCAGCTAGATTGCTTCAGAATTCGAATGTAAAAGGCTGCAAAATTAATGCAGTGGTTAGACAAGGCACATCTTGATTGCGTCATTAATGCAGGCCTATTTTGCTGCGCTGGACTAATCTGGAATTAGGAAGATCACATACTATTATTGCAGCCATTCAGAGGTGTCAAATTTTAGGCAACAAATCTTGATAATTATATAGAAAGTCCTTTTCGGATTCGTGAGAGGTGTTAGTTTATTAATGAATTACTATAGTTCTAGACTGACTCCGTGGGTACTTCGTAAAAATTTCAAGTCTGGCTGGGTAAATCTCTATTCTGACATGAGTGATGTTAAGGTGGCGACTTCTGGAAGGGATCAAGAATTTTAACTTACTGTGTTTTCTAGTTTTCGCAATACGTAGTCTTCCTCAAATATGCAGAAGCACATATATTGCATTCTCTGGTTGGTTGCA